GATGAAATTTAGATTTCATTTTTGATTGAGAGTTATTACTTAACGTAGTAAAACATTTACGTGTGGTCATACTCATATGTATTATTATTATCATGTATAAGGAATGTATACTTTTGTAGACATGCATGGTTTATGGTTAAGTATTTATTTAAAAAAGGTTCACGTAATTTTCTAATCACCATCTGCCGACCATACTACTTTATTAAGTGTCACAGCTTTTGTGGAAAATTTTCCGTTAATTCATCAGCCTTTCAATACGTTCACACAATACTGTAATTATAAAATTAAAAACTTGCGGCTAATTTTAGAATTTGTCGTACGGTAACTGATCACACACTACATGTTCTCTAGATCTAGCTTTTTTTTTTTGGGTTGGAACATAAGAAATCAAACTTTGATCAACCCTGCAGGCCATATACATACCACATTAATTAATAATTATTAGTGCATATGCATACGTAGCACAGAACCCTAGTTAGGTTGGATAAAGAAAACGATCAAATCTCAGAAAAAATCAGTCTCTCCCAAATCCCAAAACAAAAGCATGCATTTCGTAATAAACAAACGCACTGATTCTGTTTTATTTCTCCTACCTTTATCCTACACAACGCTAATTAAACGACACAAAACTCAAAACACAGACATTTTTGTTTAATTTATTCTCCTTATTATCTCTTTTTGATTATTATAATAACAAAAACATTTTTAACAAAATTCAAAATAAAACAACATCTATTCGTATCTATAAATTCGAACCCTCGCCTATTCACATTGATCACTTAGTCCATCTTAACACACATAATCTCATACATATAACAAAACATATTCAAAACCCTAAAAGACAACCACACTTAGAACTTCGTTCTTGAAATAATGTCATCGGGAGGATTCTCCATTAAAGCTAGAGGATTAGGTAATAACAATAATGGAGGAGGAGGAGGAACGGGGACGAAGTGTGGACGGTGGAATCCAACGGTGGAGCAAGTGAAGCTTCTAACGGATCTATTCAAGGCCGGGCTACGAACACCGAGCACCGATCAGATTCAAAAGATCTCTACGGAGCTGAGTTTGTACGGTAAGATCGAGAGCAAGAACGTGTTCTATTGGTTCCAAAACCATAAAGCTAGGGAGAGACAAAAGCGCCGTAAAATCTCCACCGTCGATTTTGATCATCGTCAAGACACAAATCTCTCTCGTCCTCATCGAGACAACCAACGTTTTCATCAACCACCACGTAAAGGTTAATTTTATTTCCAATCTAAATCTCACTCACGCATATTTGCATATTTAAAAACCTGATATATGTTTTATGGTTGAATCGGGGTTATATATACCACTAGGCTATAAATTTCGGTCCCTAAAAGCTAACGAAGATCTCTTTCTACATTGTTTAAAAAAAAAAAAAAAATTCTACATTGGTTCTCAAGCTAATATATACATTAAATATGTTTATTTTATCTTGTATTGGGCTATGGTGATAAACTGATAAATTAATAATGTATATATGTTTTTTTCTTTCTTGTAGATATATTTGAAGTATGTGAAGAAGAGGAAGAGAAGGTGATAGAGACGTTGCAACTCTTTCCATTATCGAAGGTTGAGAGAGTGAGAGCAAATGTTACTATTGCAAGCCACAACGAATACATAAGAGAGCATGCCAATACGACGACGTTTTCCACATACTCATCATGTGGAGCTGAGATGGAACATCCACCGTTGGATCTCCGATTAAGCTTTCTATGAATCAATATTAACGACTCTAATGGATGCGGACAAAATGAAGACATGAGAGATCACATGTGTATTTGGAAGTAGCTATGCATGAGACCAAATATTCTGAATTATATGATTAGAACTGAATTAACATCGGTCAATGTCATTAGATTATCATAATTATCGGAGAAGTAAGCGAATTAGATCGGTGTAGGACTTTTCAGAGTTGTAGTGAAATTATGATTGGGATATGGCAACTTCTACTTGTAACAATATTAACCCTAGCTAGTCGTCACATGAGTCGTTAATTATATCGTTGTTACATTCTTTTTCTTGAGCTTCTTTTATTTTGTGGCATTCCCAATATCAAAACGAGTATTTACAATTTTGCAAAAAAGAGGAAGAAAACACCGACGATGGAATTTTCTTCGTATCATCCACAACTTTTTTAGTATTTTCAGTTTTTAGTCTCCAATTCATATACAGTATGCACATTCTCGAATATTTAAAATTTGAAATATATACATGAATCTTTTAATAATTAGCATAGTCAAATGAACACATCATCATTCAGTATCTATTGTTAATTAATCTCTACATTATCTTTTTAGCGGTGTCAAACACATCACTGAAAAAATTAAACATAATACTTAGAAGAAATATAATACTAATCAGCGGATTAAGCGATGAATCCCAATTTTTAGTACCCAACCATTTTTCGAAAAATTGTATATTGGAACTCTACGTGGAAAAATTGGCTAAAAATCTCAAATAAATGACGTCAACAAGCTCTTTATAATGGGTTTACAAATTATAGGCCCATTACTATTTTACAAGCCCGAGCCGAAAAAATAAAATGACAGAGAGAATTAAAGCAATTTCGTGGTTTTCCTGGAGAAGAAGCAAACTTGAAGCTCCGTCGGAGAAAACCAGATCGGAACTTGAGCGATTTTCAAATCTTCTTCACCGGAGAGAAATCAGAGTACTTGTAGTAGCGAAGGTTGATTCTCCGACCATGGATGTGATAAAGACGCAACAGATATCAACAAGGACGATCGAGAAGGTTGTTGTTCATCCACTCGTCTTGCTTAGTATCGTCGACCATTACAATCGCGTCGCTAAGGACTCGCGTAAGCGTGTCGTCGGAGTTCTTCTCGGGAGCAGCTCTCGCGGTACCGTTGACGTCACCAACAGCTACGCAGGTACCGCTTGGGATTCTCAGATCTCAGATTCCGTTTAGGTTTTTGTTGTACTAGAATTCGGTGCTTTTTTGCTCATTTACTTGAATTGGGTTCTAGCGAGATTGTAGATATAGCAGCAATTTAGGGTTTTTCGTACTCTTAATGTTTTGGAATTTCCAAATACTATGTGGATTAGAGATAAAAAAAGCTAATTTTAGGCTGTTTTTTTGGAGTATTAGTTGCATTTTAGTCTGCATAGGTGCTTATCTCTGGAGACTGTCACTAGGAACCTCATTAATAGATAGCTGTTGCTTACATATGACTCGTTTGACATTTGGCATATTGATTTGTAGTGCCATTCGAGGAGGATGACAAAGACCCAAGCATCTGGTTTCTGGATCACAACTACCATGAGTCAATGTTTCACATGTTCAAGAGAATCAATGGTATTTTCTCAGGAAGCTGATATTCAGACTTATATACGACGATGTAGAGACCATGTTTTTTAATAAAAAAATAAATATTTTCTTTTCAGCGAAGGAGCATGTTGTAGGTTGGTACAGCACAGGCCCTAAACTTCGAGAGAATGACTTGGACGTTCACGCATTGTTCAGTGGGTTAGTTTCCTGATTAATCATTCAGATTTATTGGCCAGCTTGTCATTTGTAGACATGGGAGATGTATATTGAGGATTGGTCCGTTTTAAGATAGGATAAAGCATTTTCAACTAAGCTTCGTTTTGCTTCTGGTGATGCAGCTATGTCCCAAACCCAGTGTTGGTCATAATTGATGTTCAGCCTAAAGAACTTGGAATCCCCACAAAAGCTTACTATGCTGTGGAGGAGGTCAAGGAGGTAAGAGACATACCATTCCTAATCTTTTCCGTTTTGTACAGTTGTATTCTCATGTTTAATCAACCTGATTATATATACTTCTCTGTCTCTTCAGAATGCTACTCAGAAAAGTCAGAAAGTCTTCGTTCATGTTTCTACAGAAATTGCTGCTCATGAAGTCGAGGAAATCGGTATGTTCAAAAGGGAAAACAAGTCCTTTACTGTTTGATCACCTCGATTGATGTAGAAAAATGTCTTTTATGATTGCTTTTGAGGGAGGACTTCTGACTTTTACCTGGTTTATTCTCATTCTTGAACAGGCGTGGAACATTTGCTCAGGGATGTGAAAGACACAACAATCAGTACCCTGGCGACTGAGGTCTCTGTCTTTACTATACTTGAACGTTTCATTATTATCCCTTTTGTGTATTGTGAAATATGATGGGTGCCTTGGGGGATTTGTATAATTGTATTGAGGTTCTTGCAAGGTTATTTTATGAGCTTAATAGCTTCTGCTCAAGGACTTAAAAAACGTGTATATTATTTTGCACCAGGTTACTGCAAAGCTTACTGCTTTGAAGGGGCTGGATGCACGTCTTCGGGAGATCCGGAGTTACCTTGACCTTGTAATCGAAGGAAAGCTCCCTCTAAACCATGAGATTTTGTACCATCTGCAGGTTAGAATTGATATATTTAGTGTTCTGGTTCTACAAATTATGGCTATAAACTTCTGGGCATTGTCCAAATCTGTGTGATATTTGTTCTTTGCAGTTCTTGTAGTCACTGTATCTGCTATTTGTGGATTTCATCTAATGAAATAATCGTCTTAAAACTTGTAGGATGTTTTCAACTTGCTTCCTAACCTGAATGTGAGCGAATTGGTCAAGGCCTTCTCAGGTAAGTTTCTGCTGTTAATGCGCTAGTTTCTTGAAGCATTTGCTTCATTAGTCTTACCGCATTTATTATGTGCAGTGAAAACAAATGACATGATGCTCGTTATCTATCTATCATCCCTCATCCGGAGTGTAATTGCGCTCCACAACTTGATCAACAACAAGGTTAGATCTTAACTCTCTCACTCTCTTATGTTCTTTAGCACGGCACACCATAACGTGAAGTACCAGAATCGGAAACCTATTACCATTGTCATAACATGGTTCCTGACTTTTGATTGAAGTTGGTCTGTTTGTGAATGTAATCTTGTGATGCTATATGTTTTCAGTTGCTGAACAAGGAACATGAAAAAACTGAAGACTCAAAGCCCGTGGCCATACCCACCACCAGCTAAATGCTGATCAGGTTTTCTCATGATTTACTAAGTCATCATTGCCCCGCGATGAAGACCACTGTTGTATGTTCTCTTCCCGAAAAGAAGGGACAAAGTGAGGGGAGGGAACGAACTGAGTTTAGTTTAATATCGTCTCTCTTTCCGAGTGTTGATTTTCTCAATTGGTCCTGATTCAGAATGTGTCAAGAGACTCCTTTTCAGTTTATCTTTTAAGTTCGTTAGGCTTAGGCCTTTTTTAAGATGATACATAGTTTCACGTCAATGTGTCGAAATCTCCACAAAACGGGTCATAATTATCCTATCGAAATTCTTAATCGAATTATTACATTTAAGCTTGTGGTGTCTCATGTGTTTTTCTTTTTATTATCTACTCTTTTGTCTGGTCAACAATAGCTCGGATTAGATGATCCATGTTATACAATCATACCGTTACTGAGTTAAGAGGCTCCATGTTATAGAACCAACCGTGATCGTACATTGGCCATTCTTTATCACACATACTTGATCAACTATTTCCATCGTAAAGATAACAAGAAATGAAAAATATTGACATTGTTATGTCCCAAGCAAACTAAATGGGGTTGTCTAATTGTAGAAGCTAAAATTATAAGGTGACAACTTGAAATACCAAATAGATGAGTGTTGATACATTTTGGTCCAATATGATTTCTTGGAGCTAGAATAATTTTATCTTGATTTTCTTTTCTGTTTTTTTTTTTCAATTAAAGTGAATAATTTGCATATTGCTAGTTGTAAAGAGGAAGACTTAGACCTTTTGATGAGCTTTTTCTTATAAAAGGAGCAACAAACAACAACAAAAATGAAAGTGAAAAAGCATTTTGAAAGAAAAATAAAGTTTATAAATGGCGTAAGCTTCATGAAAAGGATATTGATGATAAGGGACAGAAATGAAAACAAGAACGTGCTTTAATACGCATTATGCCTTTTCTAATATGTGTATATCTTACGAGCTCTATGTGGATGTGTTTCTATACTATTTTTTTGTTTCATTT